TTCTAGGTTCACTTATAACTATTGCGACAATCTTCTTAATAAAATTAATCATCTTTAGCCACATCAAGTTTAGCGTTACTACAAAATTTTAAAAAAAAAAATTATCTTACCAATCAATCTAGAGAAATTAATGAGTTCTCAACTTAAAATTTCAATAATTTATATTCGAGGCAATTATTTATTTTGATTATTTTTCATATATTTAAGATATACATCCATAACTATTAATCTATGTTGCATGGTCAAAATTTCTTTTAAAATCACCATATAATAATAGCAAAGAGATATTTTCCCTTTCTAAATAAAAAAAGAATATTTATGACTTGATTTGTCAACTTTTGGGAAAAAAAAAGTTTATGAATGCTAATTAAAAAAAATATTTGTTATAATAAACTACAGGTTATTAAATTTCAAGTATACTTCTGTAACAAATTTTGTTCTCTCATTTCATACCCACCATGAATCTTCTTGAGATCATCCTATGAAAAAATATATGCTAATTTAAGTTGCCACCAATAAATATAATGTCTTCTTCAATTATATGTTGTAGGAGTTCATCCTTATAATCCCAAAATTATTTTTATAAATTATATTGTAATCCAACATGAGGAGCATAACAACTAAAAAATTTATAATGTCTTTACTAACAATTATCTTAATAGAAATCAACATATTAATAACAATTTTCACTTCAATAACGTCATCTTTCAACTCTCAATCCAGTACAATTCCAACCATGTTTATATTTTTAACCTTTTTACTCAACATTATAACTTTTAACATTCCCCATTACTATTGGATATTTTTCCTTTCTAATTAGTTTCCTATGAAAACAAAAGCTTATCCCTCTTCAAGTTATTGTACCCAAATCAATTATTTCCTCATTCAAATACCCAATATTTCATACAAAAAATCTAATCTTAATTTTAAACATATTCAGCTCTTGCATACTTTATACGACAATCAAAATAAATTGTGATGGGCCACTTGTGAGTGAATTCCTAGCCAATTATTCTAGGCTTTTACAACAATTAAGTTGAATTGTGGTGTGTCACTAATAGTTAATATCATAACAAATTCTTACGTACTTCTTACCGTAATAGTGCTCAATCATGCCCATGAAACGTAGCATCAACTATTAGTCATTCACATGTTGGCTTGGAACAAACAGTTGAGGTTGAGTACCATAAAAAATCTTTACTCTATTTTGTGAGACTTTTTGCAAAAATTTAACCATGTTACTCTCATCTAGCTATTTTCTTATAATTCAATTAAGGCAAACACTTTCTACAAACATAAATGACATGTGATCATCCCACAAAGTGCTATATACCGATCTAGCTTCATTGAAAGTTGAGAAATAAAAAGCAATGTGATTGTTTGTATCATGAAAGATCAATTGGATTAGTGCGGCATTTGATTTACAACCCCTTCTTAAAAAATCTGTTTTGATTCAAGAATCCAAGTAGTGCTTAACAATGCTCGCATCCACTAAATATAATACAAATATCATATTTCCTACACCACCTTCAAATCTTCAAACTATTAGGAGCGGAAGAGAATGGTAGTAGAAGTAGATACAATAGTTAGCATGGACCAAGTTCAATGTCATCAATCAAATTTTCCATGCACCTCTCTCTCAATTCTAACTCATCTCCCCTCTAGGTACTAGCTTTCATGAGCATAGTCATGAAAAGCAATTTAATACACTAAGGCTTCATTTGGGAAGGCTTTCTTACAGCTTCTTAAAGCAGCTTTCTAGTACAAAGTTCTAATTTTTGTACTAGAAATTTTCTTTAAGAAGCAGTAAGAAAGTCGTCCCAAACGAAGCCTAAATTCAAAGGATAAACCATTACTTAGCTCTAAGTTTGGTTTGGATATACAACTAATAGCATCTAAAATGAAATTATAACAAGAGTAGAACCAACAATTAGCAAGGAACAAAACAAATGCAAGCAAATGATTATTTAAAACACCACTCCCTTCAATTCCAACTACCATATTACATATTCATGAATGTTTAAGTGTAGATTGAGTCCCAACAATAGATTGTAGAAAAATAGTAGTTGGCCTCACCCATATATTAAACATTTTTTGCTGAAAATGAGTTTCAATGCTAGTTAATTAAGCCCATCTTTGCCCCCCTCATGGTTCACTCTTCCCAAGTAATGGTGTTATGGCCAATCATGATTGGTTTGAGTGATAGGCACATGGGCCCCATGATTTGATCCCTATGTGGAGCAATTACAATGTTTCTTAAAGCAAGTGATGGTGAAGCGATCATTTAAAGTTTTCGGCTTATATAAATAAATTAGCTTTGTAGAATGCGAATTGAGGGGGGAGATGATGCGGACATCGGTACGAAGATTTGGCGCATCTATCACAGGAGGCGTCGTAAATCAACGGCTATTATTTAAATTTTCATTTATGAATTATTTACTGAATTTTAGCTCTTGTTTTATGTATTTCCTATTTTACCCCTAAGTTAGTTTATGTGAGTGTTATGGCCCAAGGGGCATTTTTTTAATTTTTGATTTTCTCATGTTGTTGCCTATATATAGGGCCTTAAGCTATTGTAATAGGGGATGAAGATTTGATATTAAAAAAATTGTGTCCACACTTGTGTTCTTTTTGAGAGAGGACGAGAGTGAGAATTCTATGGGAAGGAATCGGAGTTGTCACCAGCCATAGGATGGGTCTGGGCTCGTGATTTGAAGTCCCTTGGAGAAGGGCAAAGCATCACCCGTCAGTCTTCGAAAGAGTCTGAGGCTCGCGGTTTTTTAATTTCTCTCTATCGTTTGTTTCGATCTTTATTTTTGTTTTATCTCTTCTTTAATTATTATTTTTTTTCATCGTCTTCCTCCTCCCCATCTTCGTTTGGCCACCGGATTCACCTCCATCCGAAATCCCCCCACACCCGAACCCATGCCGCCGACTCCACCCCATTTGCCGCCGGCCGAACCATTCTCTCCACCCCCTTTTGGAGTTCCTAATTTTGGTTGGGTTAATTTAGGGATTAATTTGAATTTGAAATTATTCAAATTCAAATTTCAAATTCTTTCCTAATTTGATTCATCTATTTTAGGAAAGTAATTAATTTAAATCAATTTGAATTTTAAATTCAAATTGGATTTATTTCATTACTTTCCAAACTCATTAAACCAAATTATGAAGCCTTGAATACTCACATTAAATCCCTTCCCCTCTCCATGCCGCCGGCCCCCTTGGTGATTCCCTCTCCTTTAATGTTTCATTAAGGGATTTGATTGCATGCTATTTGAATTTCAAATTCAAAATTCAAATTTGCATTATGAATTAAATGCCATGAATTCCTTCTTAATTTAAATCCATTACTGAATTCTAAATTCAATTGAATTTTAAATTCAAAATCTGAGAACATTAAATCACCTCATTAATTCCCAAATGCAAATCAATAAGCCTTAATATCCTCTTGCTTGGCCGAATTTTCCTCAAGCCCCACCTCTTAATTTCTTTCCTAAAATCTGGTTGGACTTTGGAAATTAAATTGCCCACTTCCCTCTCAATCCCGTGAGTTCTGAAATCAATTCCAGAATTAATCAATTTGTTTCATAAATCACTCTCCACCTCTTTGGAAACAATTTGAAACCTCATCTAACTGAATTCCTCTTAACTTTAATCCTTAAATTGCTCCCTAATCCAATTAAAGGAATTAGTAATTAATTCAACCTCCTTGCTGGCTTTGGAAAACCTCCGGCCCCTGTAATGATAATTAGGATTTATTTCCTAATTTATTACTAAGCCTCTTTAGAGAAAGCTCCCCACGTTACAGCCTTGAGTTGGAATTTGTTTTGGAAATTAAAATTCCTCTGCTGGCCAAAATCTTCCAAGGCCATCACGTGGAAATCCCTCCAGTAGAACCTCTCCAACTTCCCTGCTGCTGGCCAAATTCCCTTAGCCTCCTGTAATGATAATTAGGATTTATTTCCTAATTTATTACTAAGCCTCTTTAGAGAAAGCTCCCCACGTTACAGCCTTGAGTTGGAATTTGTTTTGGAAATTAAAATTCCTCTGTTGGCCAAAATCTTCCAAGGCCATCACGTGGAAATCCCTCCAGTAGAACCTCTCCAACTTCCCTGCTGCTGGCCAAATTCCCTTAGCCTCCTGCTATGGCCGAAACATCCAAAGCCCCCCCCCCCCCTTGGGTTATTTCTCTAGAAAGAAGCATTGAATTCTCTCAGGTTTTTGGGGAAACAAAAACTGAAATTGTTCTCAAAATTCGGAGAGGAGAGCCGCTCCCTAGCAAAGCCTCCTTTTCGTTATACATCAGGAGAAATGATAGATGTCGAGATCTCAATGGCAAAAAGAGTTAAGAGATCTCGCAAAGGAGATATTTGTCAAGACACAAGAGAGTAATAGGTAAAAAAAAAAAGTTAAGGACATGTTAATGTAAAAATACCAATGGCTGACCCTCACCAACAAGCTCATGCTATTTGGTTAAAAAATAATTTGAATGATGATATATCGTCCAAATTGTCCCATTTTGGTTCACACTCCCTAGATAAATCATGACATGTAATTGAACTTAATATTCAATTCAAAGGACTCAATAATTAGTCATAAGCACGTTCAGTATTTAAACAACAGCAAAAATACAGTCCAATTAACTATGATATACATAGAGAATTTGTAAACATATAGAAACAATAAGAACATCCTATTGTCACAGGTTGCAATCATCCCAAAATTAAAAATATGGGCTTTGAAATGGCTTATAAGAATGTGTGGTAAAAACAATGAGTATTCATGAGAAGGCATAAAAACTACTTGTATGATAAAAAATATATTCCAGATCTTTTTTGCTAAAAAAAATATATTCCAGACTTCATTGGAATAACAGAAGTCAAGGAAAACAAGAGGCATAACCGCATAACCCGTTAAAACTATATATATATATAAAGAGAGAGAGAGAGAGAGAGAGAGAATCAAGACTACAGCACAAGGAAAAAAAGTCTACATACCTCAAATTTCCTAAAGAAATGATCAGATTTTGAAGCACAGAAAGTTGTGTGAATCCGAACGTGAGAAGAAAATCCGCAAAAGGAGACTTTTTTTGTTACAGTTGAATGAGCTCCTGTGGGTTCTCCATAGCTTCTTTGAGTATCATCTCAGCTCTACGCTTCTTATCATCTTTCTGATCGTCCCTTAAAAACCAGGAATCAGATTTGTTACCTAAAACACCTGAAGACAATGGCACAGAAATGGATTTCTTATCAACTCCTATCCTAAAATGCACAGGTGCCCTTTTGCTAGGTAACGATCTTCTTTCAATAGCCCTGCATTCGAGAGCACCAGCCTTAGCAGCCTCGATAGCAGGGGCAAAAGTCTCAAGCACCGAAAACCTCTTCTTTGCGATATCATACTTTGGTATGGCAACACCCGATACCTGCTTCGAGTCATAAGGCAAAGGAGGTACGAGAAATGGGTTATTTTCTGCAACCTGCTTTCCTTTTGAATCATTAGCATTATCTGAAGGAACGGACACAGCTGCACCATAGCAAGCAATTCGCTGCTGCAAACTCAGCAAGGAACTCTCTGCCCTCCTCCTCTGCCTTGCTTGCTCAAGTTTGTCTGCCCGGGGATCAGTGTTTCTCTCATTCCAAACTGGGGTGTGCACGTAAGTATGAGGATCAGGAAATGCTGGAAGCCAGTCAGGGATATGCTTCCCAGCAGGGGTCTTCCCCATCTGAGCAAAGCTAGGTGTAGTCTTCAAGGTACGAACAACTGGGAATCTTGGAATTACCCGAGGAAAAGGAACTTCCTCTGCAGTGCTCGCGAACTGAGAAATATCCCGAACAACCCCAGAACTAGACAAACACCTGTTGTCATCTGAAGCGCCAGAAAATCCCTGTGCCGAACCAGCAAGTTCTTCCAGCCCTTGAATTACATCATACGGGTTGCACTCTGTCCTGCCAGATATGTTAGCATAGTAATGTGCTGATTTACCCAGACTGCAAATATACCGAATTGTTACATCCGCAAGAGTATCAAGCACTGACCGCTGAGAACTCTGGAACCCAACAGACTCACAAATTTGGGCTACCGCGATCCGTGAAACAGAGCGACCAAAGTCATCGCCACCCTTCTGCTTTTTCTTCGTGGACGAGCTGCTCTCATTGTCTACCCCACTCTGCTTGCCTCCATCGCTCATGTTCAAACTATCATCAGTCCAGAACCAGAATTTTTTTCCAAATCCAGCAAGCAAACGCCTTCGGAATTAGAAAACCCACCGGATCTGGTACAAGGTTCCCATCCACATGTAAAAAATGGAAACCCTAGATTTCAATTGCATTGAAAACACCGGACGTAATAGACTGGTAGAAACAGCCCGGAGCTAGTTTCGAACCTACGCTTGACCTTCGCTACCTTCGCTCGTCGGATACGCCACGGATCAGACGAATCTGGAACCTCAGTGGCGAAACAAACAAGAAGCTTCGTGATGGAACTAAAGGCTACCAAGAAATAGACAATACTAGGGCTTACTGGATCCAGAGAAGCATACAAAGTTCGAAAGAATCAAATCGCGAAAGAGAGAGAAGGTTCGAGGAGGATTCAAAAAATTGTCCTCAAAACCCTAACGGTAGAGAAACCAGCTGCACATAATAGAGACAGTAAAGGAGAGAGAAATAGAGGCGAGGAAAAGACTAGCAGTGCTCCAAAAGAGCGGCCGTGGATGGGAATTTATAGAGGGTGCGTTGGTGTTGTTAACAGGAGGACATATCTGCGGCACCGGTTAAGAACTCATTTTTGTGACCATCCTATGTGTCTGGTTCCGTAACATAATCGGAATGGATCCACTTGTTGTGTACGGCTTCAACACTGCCACGTGGACTGGTAGCTTCACTCAAGGCCGGTGGAGGCCATTCTAAGCTTGAAAGCTTGTGTTGCATTATTTGCAGTCTTTTTTATTGACAAATTATTCTTTATAATCATGGTTCAGAAGTGAATTAGAACGTGTCACGTTATCTAATATTGAATTGTACATAGATGTAGTACACATCGAAAAAATGGTGTAACGTGTTTTTATTCGTCTCTGGATGCGTAACCGCATAGAATAATTTTTCTTTTTTATTATATGTGGAGTTCAAATGCATATGAATTTCAATGTGTGTAAGTTACGTGGTTTGTACATTTTGAGTTAAATGCGATCTATGTTCAGACTCCATACGCAATAATTTCTCTTTTAAAGGCCTTAAAATAATGTCGTCGCCCCTACAAAAATTCTCTATTTGTTGATAGAAACAATAGAGAGAAACATTGGTGTGCTAAAAATGTTGTTTATAAAAAGATATTGATTTTCTTATAAATGAATGTAGTCACGTAAAAATACATTTAATGATAAATACAAATTTTTCATATAAAAAATAAGTTAAAATAAAACAAGAAGTAATGGACGCGAGTGTCACATTTCTTTAGACTTTAAAAAAGATCAAAAGCAAGTAAAAAATATGTTGATATTAACATCATTGTTGTCAGGGGCGGAACCCCATTATGGTTAGGTGGGGCAATTGCCTTATCAATGAATGTAGTCACATAAAAATATATTTAATGATAAATACAAATTTTTCATATATGCGAACAGTTACTATAACTTTGCCGCCCCCCCC